GCGCAAGCGAGAGGAACGTCGAAGGGATTCTCTGCCCACGCCGCTCGCAAAGCCCTATTTTGATACAGCACGACACGACGCGGTCTTGATAGAGGAACTTGTACGCCACATATACTAGACATGCAGAGGACTCACGCGAAAGCTGTTTATAAGGCAGTCACTCGAGTCGGCCAGTCTTATGAGTGCCAATTTGCTAGCGGCCAGGGGGTTATGGAAATGAGAATTTGCTAGTGCAATGTCTTCATGAAAGTCGAAAAATAGCAAGTATAAAATCATGTCAATTTATAGGTAATACGAGAATGCTGCGTATAAAAAGGAATACCTGCATAAATTTTGATGCTATCGCTTGGGCTGCAGTGCGCTCATAACTCTTCAGTAGGTAACTATTCAAGACGGTTTCGAAATCGACGGGAATTTGGTGCCGAGGCTTCACAACCACAGTTACGCGATCGCCATGTTTTATAGAAAACTCTTGGAGGGTTTTCCCCTTATCTGAAAAAAATATGCTTATGACTGAGATGAACCTGAAAGCGGTGTGCCCTTGAACAGTAGTGTTATACTGTCACAGTCCACTGCGTACTCGGTCGCCACACGTGGCAACAGTTCTGAGATAGTTGTCTGTTCACTAACCTAACAGTGACGGCTGGAAAAATATAGTAGTACTTTTATATATTTGGCAGGAAGGCCAAGGGGTTTGACTATGATTTCCATGTCAGGCATTAGTAAGCAACAAAAACATTGTGAACAGATGAGACTGATACCCAATTGGCGCGCGCGCAACAGTACAACCGAACAAGTTCGAGTCAGTGCTCATGTTTGGCCCTTATACCTGACTGTCTGCGAACATAAACCGCAAAGTATGGTTAACCATAAAGATTCGGGCAAGTTGGCAACGTAGGAAGGCAAATGAGACAGAGAAGCCGATACCGTACTAAACAGCATAAGTGACAGAAAAAATGCATAAGCCAGCTTCCATTATAGATTTCAGAGCTGTTTAAGCTACGCAGTGTTGACCAGGATTGCAAAAGCATCCGATTTTACCCTGGAGATTTCTTTATTGCTAACAATAAGCATTGCGTTCTCGACTAAATTGATACTACTCCCATATAGGATACCGGCTGTCCTCCATTGTTTCTGTTTTATGTTCTTCATTATCATTCTATTAACAATCATGAACCGATAATCAAGAATTAAATATCACACGCAGGCAAAAGTGGGTTAGAATGGGGCTAACGGATATAAAATCCCGAAACATGGACAATCAACAAAGGCAGGGCATGAATAACAAATGTAAGCGAAATGTCGTTGGAACGGATCTTCAGACGAGATCTACAAGAAGGACAATGGCACATTTAAAATAGTTCAAACATAGTTATAAAACAATGGAGAAGGAATCGTCCGTCAAAATTCTTTATAATAAATCCGTCAGGACACACGATCTCTCGAGGCAGGCCATGGATTCATCTAATTTCTCATTAATGCTATATGCGGAACAAATTTTTCTAGCCGTTTGCGACATAAAAGAGGCTAGATTACGTCTCCGCTGAAGATGTACGAAGCTGCAGTATTCAGATGATGCAGGAAAGACTTCTTTCGATGGACGTTTATTCGACCGTTGTCGCAAAAACATCTTCTAATAAGGACGTCTATGGAAGGCCGCGATTCTACTTTTTCTACCTTCAACACGAACCTGATCAACAGGTGTGCTTAATGTACGGGATCCAAGTGGCAATTGCGAAGATGTCGTCAACAATACGACAGCATTGCCCTAACTCGTTGATTCGGTCGCCTAACCGGGACTTCCTCAATTTTCCCGTGAGTATATCGGCTAGGGGCGGACCAAGAGGCGATCCGATAGCAACTTCGTATTGCCACAAACGAACTACACACTTTGTATGCATTTTGTCAATAGCTCCTTGAGTGTGTTAGTCGGAATACCTATTTCCTGGTTTTAAGTTACTCGACTGTCTCTGTGACCGGAACGTTTGTGATGAGTGATGAGACATAAAGTAAAAACATCAGCATGTCGTTTAGATTTAAGTCTTTGTGGTACTATTTGATACTGTACAGGTTTGAGTTTCTCTGCTAACCGCTTCGCCATCGCATGTTAAGGAGAGTTGTGCATGCTTGAGATTGGACTGACTGGTAGGCCATTCTTGGGGATCTTCGATAGACCATGTAATTAAGGGTTGTGTGTGTCCACTGGGTGGGGGTGCTCCAGGTCGCGATCGTTCATGAAACCTCCGGCGTGTAGTCGGCGAAGGCAGTCGGTCAGTTGTGTTTCGACTTCACTCATGCAATATTCCTCACTGTCGGCTTTCTCAAATTCCTTCTGACCTGACAATATGCACTGTACTTTCGTCACCTAGTTCGATCTATTCATGGTAACTACGTATGTTCATTTATCCGGCCAAGTTATCAAGATGTCTCTACTCTATTCCGGCTGTTTCAACTTCTGTACGTGTACTTCAGTCAGCAGTTCTCGACACTTTCTGCCTCTATTCCGATATTGATTTAAGTATTATTTTTTTTAAAAATTTTCTTAACTGTTGAATTTCAATCACGCCTGGGGAAGGCTACGATAGACGAAAACTTTTAACTTTTTTGCGTTGATCAGACGGTAGATCTTGCAGACGCTTGTCACACTACAGCATGTGAATCTGATTTTTTTCAATGAACTTTATGTCATTGCAGTAGTACAGGAACCGTACAGCAGTCCTGTGATATCATGTAGATCCTCTCATTTACTGAGCAGACTTTCATTTCGGTTCAGCGTGTTCGAGAGAACTATGTTTATGCATTTGAACTCCCTGTATTCAAATAAACATTAGAAGAATTAACAGCAATGTAAAAAAATAAAAGCGTCAATCATTAACAGATTTATTTACACATAGAAACACATTTTTAAGGCTGCGTATTCACAAAATTGCTTGCTGCTTAGGGCGGCGGTTGAATTTTTCAACAGAGTGAGATATAGCGATCGCCTCAGGCATATTATCCAATTGTTCCACTACGCGGTTTAAGAAAAATGCTTCCGCACATCCAGTCTTCACTGGAGAATACGTAGTTTGATGGCGTAAAACAGTGCTCTGAAGGCCTTAGTCCGTTCGTAATGTAAACGTCGAGATTATTCTTTATTTCACATTATCAAAGTGTCACTCAGTTCAATCAGTAATTGCGCGTACTGAGGACCTGGCTTCGATCTTCAAGACGGAGTACGACACACACACTCGAGTTAAGCGCCGAGGGCATCGGCGGAACCATTCTTCCAACTGGCAAGTATTTTCCTGGAAGTTCGCCCCGTCGGCCGTCCTGTAAACGACCTCCAAATTTTCATGTCATTTACGGACACGACACATCCACAATACAATTCCCGCACACAGTCATTAATAATCAAGAAAGGAGGCCGGTCCCGACAATGAGCTTTTTGTAACTTCACTCGATATGAATTCTATTGTTCTGCGCAGACAGTTTGAGAACTTTCGACGTGGGAATTCTGAATTCGGTTAAGAGATTTGCCTTCGATACCAACTGCTCTCATTTTGTACAGAAGTCATCGGTGCGGAATACTATCCATGACCTTCCTGAAGTCAGTGAATGAGATATGAAAATGTGTACGGTTTCGCATTGTGTATAGCACGTTCATTACATACGATATTCCCTTACGAAAGTCGTATCATGCATTGGGCAAGAGGTAGTGGGTTTCCAAATAACTTTCAAATTTAATTTTGTTAATTTTCTCTATGGCTTTGTGACAGATTGAGATCAAAGTAACGGACCAGCAGTTGATTGGAGGTCCATGACTGCCGCGTTAGCGAAGGAGTGTAATGGTTGCTGGAAAAATTAGCGGGAAAAATTTCAGTATTGAACGATTTCTGAACTGCAACTGCAAACGGCTTAGGCACATCGCGAGCAATTCCGGAAAGCCGTTTTGTCGGTATCCTATCAAGGACTACGAGGTTCACTTTATTTCAAGCTCTTTAGCTTTTCAAAACTAGTTCCCTCTCGAAACGGGATATTTTCGGTGGACTAAGTTCCCACGATTTCGCAACGAGAAGAAACGAAATTCACTTCTATTGTGAACGTGAGCTGAACGGACTGGCATAAGTGCCCAGCTTTGTTTGCAATGACTGATATTTCAAGGCACGCATTGCTCACATTAATAAGGGTCAGATGCCTTTTCCCGTGATCTTTCGCAGATAACTGCAGAGCAAATTACCTCTTCTAACAGGGCGGTGGAGTTATCACTCCCAAAGTCCCGTTGTCTTATGAAGACTGAGTCTTAAACCTTGTCCCTTTGAGCTTTGTACTTCGCCAAGACTGCACTTTCGTTGATTCTGCAGAAATTCCACACACTACCTTCCCTGTTGACCTCTTTTTTCATACCTGTTACTAGCCACTGTGGTCGGTTGGTTTTCCTGGGCCTTGAACATGGGATAGGTTATCCTCGTGTGATTCAACAGAGAGGCTCTTAACAACTTTCATTTGGCGTTGATGTTTTCGGATGAGAGAATAGTCCAGACCATACGCGACGTCTCAGTCTTGATTGGCAAAGTCCCTTTGTCATATGCTTGACCTCACTTCGTTTGTTACATTTAGAAAAGGCATAGACAATATATCCACACGATCATTCCAACTGAGCAGAGATGGGCAGCATGATTTGCCTGTTCTTTCAGGATCTTTTGCAGAGGGAAACTCCAAACAACTAGCCTGCCTCCGTCCGCACGCTCTTTTGGGAACCAGGACATACTGTAAGAGGAGAGCTTCAGATTTTGCCTTAAGGAGACGGTGATCGAAGGCAAAGTACGGGTACTTCGCTTGCATATTTTTCCACTGAATGTCAGGCGCAATGAAGTCACTCAGAAGGACAGTCTCTGATTGATTTCTGATCTTGTATATGTTCCCCAACCGACAAGTACTAGTTTCGTTTTCGGTCCTCTGCGTCGTTAGATATTCACTGTTTGAAGCTACTGCGAATGCCATCACACTATATTCTGAAGATGTACAAGGCAGTTATCCTGCCGACGCTAATGTACGGAGCAGAGACCTGGACGGTGTACACGAGGCAGGCACGCCGTCTGAACCACTTCCACCTCAGTTGTCTTCGTCGCATCCTGCGGCTGAATTGGCAGGATCGCATCCCCGACACTGATGTGCTGGAACGAACGGGAATGCTCAGCATCTACTCCATGTTGAGACAAATGCAGCTGCGCTGGAGCGGCCACTTGGTGCGCATGGACGACGAGCGACTACCAAACGACTCTTCTACGGAGACGTCGCGACGGGTTCTCGGCGTCAAGGAGGCCCAATTCGTCAATACAAGGATACCCTGAAGTCCTCCCTGAAGCTACTGCAAATCAACCCGACCAACTGGGAATAGCTCGCCTGCGATCGTCCGGCATGGAGGAGAACAGTGAAGACGGGCGCTGCTATCCACGAAGCCAACCGCATCGCCGCCGCTAAAGCGAAACGCGAAGCCCGCAAATCACAACTGCGCCCAGTCAGCAACGCTGTCGCACAACTGCTTCCAACGTGTCCTCGATGTAAGCGGACATTCCGGGCTCGAATCGGCCTTTTTGGACATCTTCGGATCAACTGTACCTCTCGAACTGCACCAAACTTCATCCCCCCGCCCGCGTCATCCTCGTCCTCTCTGCCGCCGAATAACTCTGTGAATTCTTCTGTACCACCACTTCCATCCTCCTCCTCCTCCTCCTCCTCCTCCTCCTCCTCCACCACCACCACTGCCCCAACGGCGGCCGCTCAGGC